TGAGGGTACCTCAAAATATATTCAAGATAATATGAGAGCTGAGAATTATTACTAAAAAATAAGAACACCCCGAAGTAATTTTTGGATGGAAAGAGTATCATATGTCGTAACTCTAATATTGACTTATTGTGTATTACTTCATCCGTCCTAAATGGTTGCTATAATTACCATTTTGGTATTTTGGTAAGTGTTATTTGTTTACTCGTTTCCGGTAACCATTTGATAAAATAAAATACTTTTGTCGAATCTTATTTCATAGATTTTTTGGTGCACTTTTGAATGATGTAACTTATACTTTTTATTTCTCTATAAAATTTTAAATAAAATAATTTTAAAAGAAAATATTTTTCATATTGCTCGAATGTGATAAATATTTTGAAATGGAAGGAGTATTAGGTTAAACACAAAGTAAAAACACATACTACACATTTTTTGAATACATATGATAGAATCAATACTAAAAAGCTAACATAAAAATTTCCCCCTCTATCCCAAATTAATCTTTCTATTTTTTTACAAAGTGAGAATATTAATTTGTTATGGATGAAATACTCCTTAAATTTCATTGAAAGGAATACTTCACTAAGAGCATGTTCTTCTAGCTCCTTTTAATTTCTTCTAGTTTTTTTTAAGTTTCTTACTGTTGCTTCGAGTTTCTTCCAACTATTGTCATTTTCTTCAAACTCTTCCACTTCATAATCAACTACTCTAAAAATGATATGTTTTTAATGCGATTATTATTATTATTATTATTACAACTATTATGTTCATAAATATAGTTTATAATTTTTTCTTCATTTCACTATTTTTACAATCCACACTCATTATTATTATTATTTATTTAACAATTTAATATGAATATATAAGACATTTTTGTGTATATTAAAATACATAATAAAATAGGAAAACATTAATATTTCAAACTATATTAAAAAATCATGGATAAAATAGTAATATTTTATTAATCTAACTTTATATAAGACCCTCACCTTTTCCTTTATTACTCAACTTTTTTTCATTTTTATTTATTTCAATTTTTTTCATTTTTATATAAAAATTTGAAATTCAAAATAATTTAGAGAAAAAAACTAAAATAAGAGTAAAACATAAAAAATGTACAAAAATAAAAGTTATTATCTTTATTCTAACATCGGAGTTACAGTGAAAATAAAATATCAATCATGAAAGGAAAAATATGTTTGATTAAATTATGTGACATATATGATACTTAAAACAAAATCTTGTAATATATAAAGTATAATTACAAATATATTATTTTATAATAAATAATGCATAAATAAATTGATGTGCAATGTAACCATAATAACTTTTAAAAATTTTTATTTATGCTAATTTTCTATTATAAATATAATTTTTTTGTAAAAGTAAATTTTTTGTGTATGAAAAATAATATTTTTTTTCTTCAAGTCGTCATTAAGATAATGCGATGATGATGATTATAATAATAATAATTTATGACAACAAAAATTAAAATGTGAATAATATAAAAATATAATAAAATAATTTTTCTTAAAGTCTTTTTAAGTTTTCCGATTTTTTAAAAATATTTTTAATTTTTTCAACTCTTTTTAGTTTTTTATAATTTATTCTAATATGGGACTCTATTTTTTTAGTTTTAAAGAAGAAGCTCTAAAAAAGATTCAACGGCTGTAAAATCATTGAAAGTGCCCGGGACTGTAACTTTTATCACATTTAAAAACAGAGAAGTGGACACGCGTCACTCGAAGTCACTGTCGATCGTACAATGTGAATTTATTTATGCGTTTAAATAAATAAACTTCTTCCTTCCCCTCCGTTCATCCCCTCCCGTCCTCCGCCGCCGCCGTCGAAATGGGGAAAGGCGCCGCCCTCCCCGACGGCGTGGCGAAGAAGATAGTCCTCTCCTACGCCTACGTCCTCCTCTGGATCTTCCTCTCCTTCACCGTCATTGTCTACAACAAGTTCATCCTCGACCGGAAGCTCTACGACTGGCCCTTCCCCATCTCCCTCACCATGCTCCACATGGCCTTCTGCTCCTCCCTCGCCTTCCTCCTCGCCCGCGTCGCCCGAGTCGTCGACCTCCCCGCCGCCCCCCTCTCCCGGCGCGTCTACCTCACCTCCGTCCTCCCCATCGGCGCCCTCTACGCCCTCTCCCTCTGGTCCTCCAACTCCGCCTACATCTACCTCTCCGTCTCCTTCATCCAGATGCTCAAGGCCCTCATGCCCGTCGCCGTCTACGCCATCGGAATCCTCTTCAACAAGGATCCGTACCGGCCCTCCACCATGGCCAACATGCTCTCCATCTCGATCGGCGTCGCAATCGCCGCCTACGGCGAGGCCAAGTTCGATTCCCGCGGCGTATTCCTCCAATTGATGGCGGTGGCGTTCGAGGCGACCAGGCTCGTCCTGATCCAGATCTTGCTCACCTCCAAGGGGATTAACCTAAACCCTATCACCTCCCTGTACTACATCGCTCCCACCTGCCTGATTTTCCTCTCTATCCCCTGGATCTTCGTCGAATTCCCCGTCCTGAGAGCGAAATCGAACCTCCGGTTTGATTTCGCCGTGTTCGGGAGCAATTCCCTCTGCGCGTTTGCTCTGAATCTGGCCGTTTTCCTGCTGGTGGGGAAGACGTCGGCGCTGACGATGAACGTCGCCGGCGTGGTCAAGGACTGGCTCCTGATTGCCTTCTCCTGGTCCGTGATCAAGGACACTGTCACGGCGGTGAATCTGGCCGGATACGGGCTGGCGTTCGTGGGCGTGGCGTACTACAATCACTCCAAACTGCAGGATTTGAAGGCCAAGGAGGCGCAGAAGAAGGCCCAGCAGGGGGACGGCGAGAGCCGGATGCCGTTGAGGGAGGGGGAAGTGGCCGGAGACGGCGACGGATTGGGGAAGAAGAAGGGCGACGATGCCCGGGCCTGAGTTTGGGAATTCGGTTGGGGATAAACAGGAGACATTATTGGAAAAGAGCATTTCGTGAGCTTGGGTTCTTCTTCCATTAATGGCGAGTTAGGTACTTGAGATGAAAGTTTGTTACTCTGTTTTGGGCACGGAATTAAAGCCACTTCTATTTGTAGCAATATTTCTTTCTTTTCTTCTTCTTCTTCTTTTTTTAATTGGTTTTTTACATATATGGTGCATATATATATATATATATATATGTATGTATGTATGTATGTATGTATGAAGGAAAATGCTAGGGGAAAGTGTACCCTAAACATCCCCACCCCCTCCATCACCACACAAAAAAGGCAAAAAAATTCAAAAAAAAGTAAAAACTAAAAATAAAATAAAATGAATGGTAGAGAGAGAGGGTGGTGTATATTTGGTGTACGCCTTTGGTGTACGCCTAGCATATCCCATGTATGTATTTGGTGTTTGGTTGAGTTTTGCTATGTTTGGTTAGTGCTCCTCTTTGATTTTTTGTGACCAAGGCTTCATTTTTTGTCACTCCATCTTTAGCAAAAATAATTTGTTTTAGGCTTTTCTCTAACATGTTGATCATATGTTGAGGAGACTCTTGTGAGGCTCAACTTATGTTGTGGTGGAATGAATTAAGGATATGGTAATGATCATAAATCATACTCCCTCCGTCTAAAAATTATTTTCCCGTTTACAACTCACAGGGTCTAACTTTATTGACTTATTTTTGTTACTTAGTTGATAAAGTAATATAGTCATATTACATTTAGTTTTGTAGAGTTTTTCACGTAATTTTTTAATATGTAATTTTATTTTTTAATTTCACATCATTTTTCATATAAAATGATTTGAAAATAACTTCAGTTAAACGTCGTTATGCCCAAAGAGAAGATAATTTTTAGACGGAAAGAGCAATTTTTTGGAAACCAGGCTTCAAATTAGACAATGGGGTAATGAAGTTTGGAATTAAATCAATCCACTCCCATACGTGATCACCGGAGGGAGTATTGCGTGCTAAAAGTGTGTTGCCTCATTAAAAGATCGAACGAGGAATGTAATACATCAAGAACTATGGTTTCTCGCACAAAGCGCTTGGATAGGCTTATAGTCTTCAACTATGGTATTAAACACATTGGTTCCTATGATATTGGGAAATTTGACTCTAAAGTCAAAATCGACTTGTGGGGTGCAATTGAAGGAAGTGGAGGTGTGTTTGGGTCGGAGTTTACTAAGGAGTAAGAACCGTTAATTTTACTAAGAGTTTGTAGATGCTCTAATAAAAGACTAACACAGAGAGAGGCTGGCGTGCTCAATTCCCTAATTGATGTCATATGTTTAAAACATTGGAAATGGTTCTAAATAGGTCTAAGACATTCCAATTATACCCAATTCATCTGACAGTTTTCACTTTCCGTATACGTAATAGTTGGATTGTCTACCTCTAACAAAACATCACCCTCTTAATGTTAGTGGTCAGGTTAGCATGTGGTCTTGTAGTAGGCAAGTTCTTTTTAATATTTGAAATAACAAAATTTAAATTAATTTCAAATGAATAAGCAAATCAATAAAATTTTTAGCAATTCTCTTTGAAAACATGAAGGGAAAAGAGGAAAACCCGCACGGGTAGCCCAAGTGGCAAGTACTTGGTGAAGTTTGGAGAATGATCAAGGATCAAAACCTGGCAGCAACCGTGTGGGGGCGACCACCTCTGAAAAATGGGGGGAGTCTCTGGTGCGCACTAGGATATGGTCTAGTTAAGTGTTGTGCTTGGGTCACCGTGATTTACCTCCTCTCACATTCCCGTCGGGTCGGGGGTGAGGGGCGCCCGGGGTGAGCGATTTCTGGAGAATGAAGGGAACAGAGGAAAGAAGGGAATTATTGGAATGAAATTGAAATAAGGAAGCAAAGAAAAATAGGAAGTTCGCCATAAATTGGTGATCGAAGGTCTAGCACAAAACACCTTTGGACGATATTCTAACCCTTCAATCATGATGTAGGCATAGTTAGATATACAGGGACATACGAATTAGAATTTAGGAAATTACAATTCAGAGAGGAATTTAGATACAGGGACATACCAATTAAGCAGCTAGATCTGAGCATGAGCTTGAAGATCGGCACAATAAGATCAAGCGAATTTTATCATGTAGGGTGAAGAAGGAGGAGGAGGTTGTCGTTGGCGGCGTGGGTTACGTGGGCAGCTCTGAAGAATTAAATGGCGGAAGTGAAAGAGAGAGGGTAAGACTGTAAGAGGCATGAGAGGAAAAGAAAATGAAGTGGGTGGACTCGCTACAGTGAATAAACAGAAAGAAGACGGAAAAAGAGCCAAAAAATGAACTAATGAAGGGGAGATTTCAACCATAATTTTTATTTACAACATTTATTAATTTTTCTTGAAAACTAAACCAAGAATTTTGCACGTGAAGAAGAAAAATGAACTAATGAGATTTGAGCATATTTTGTGCAAGGTAACACAATTTGGGGATGGGATATGAGGTTGGGTCATGAGGTTTGAGACACGCAATCCGCTCCCCTTATAGGAGCTGTTAGAGCACGTTGTAAACGTTTTTTTATGCATTCTTTGCAAGGCTTTGTTTGGGAACAACGTTTTCGATTAGCATTAGCGTTTTAGATAAAAATTTAATAGTGCAGATTAACTTTGAAAACGCTAAAACCGTCAGATAACCATTTCAAAATGATAACGCTAATCTCTAACGCTGATGCCAAACAGAACCTAATTGTAGGTTGGGATCATCCCTAGTCGATCCGACCAGGGGACTAGAGATTCAGGGACTAAAAACCCAAAATCTCGCTTCCAAGTTGTCCGGAGCTCAAGAACTCCCCAAGAGGCTCACGTTACGAATGGGCAACTCCAACTTGTCGAATTCTTGTATGCATTACCAGAAGTCCTTGCAAGAGCATTTGCCCTCTCTGAAATGATGAAACCGGTTCCGGTCCCTCATCAGAATCTCGCGCTTATAGACCACAGAAATCAACTTGATGGCTGAATGGCAATCCTCGCAAACGCGCAAGTTCTTCACAATGCGTATCCGAGCTTGAGGAGGAGTCTTCATAAGTGCAAAAGCAATGGCCAGCTTTTCACTGTGCCTATTCAAAGCACCCTCCTTGTCTTCCTCATCAATATCAAGCAACACTTCTGATGTTGATGCCACATACCCAGCCTTCTTTATCTGCTTCCCTATGCCATCCATCATCTTGTAAATCTCTCTGTACTGACTATGGCTTTTATCCCCTGCCACGAACTCGTAGATTTCGTTACCCAACTCGAGCATCGTGCTTCCTGGGCTCTTTTTCATCCCCTTCTTCACCATTGCCTCCCTAACCACGGTTTTCTTCTCCCATTTCAACATTTTCGCGTAAATATTGGACAACAGCACGTAATTTGAGTCTTGCATCGGTTCGTCTTCTATCAGCTCTCTGATTATCGTTTCTCCTAGTTTTAGCTCTCCGTGAGTACGGCAAGCAGTGACTATGGTGCGCAAGATGACTGCGTTCGGCTCAACAGGCATTCTCTGGACAAATGCTAATGCTTCCTTAACAAGTCCACACCTGCAGAAGAGATCAACCATGCACCCATAGTGTTCTATATTGGGAGCTATGCCGAAATCTCGTGTCATTGAGGTAAAATACTTTCTGCCTTCTTCAACCAAACCGGAATGGCTACAAGCAGTGAGCAGTCCAATGAAGGCAACTCCATCAGGTGTTATAATCCCATCTCTTCTCATCTCCTCAAACAATGACACTGCCTCAGAACCCTGGCCGTGCATTGCTAAGCCATCAATGACACAAGTCCAAGAAACAATGTTCTTTTCGCCCATACGCAAAAACAAACTCAGGGCCTTATCAATGTCCCCACACTTTGCAAACATGTCGATGAGAGCGTTCCAAAGCTCTACACTTTTCTGAAGCTTTTCCCTGTCAATGTACTCTTCAAGCCAGTTGCCGAGCCCGAGGGCTCCCAATTCCCGGCAAGCAGACAAGACAGAGACCATTGTGATCTCATCAGGCCTCACCCCTTCCATCTGCATCTTCCTAAACAAGGCTACCGCCTCATTGCACATGCCCCATCGCGAATACCCACCAATCATTGCGCTCCACCCAACAGAATCCCAGTCAGGCATTTCATCGAACACCTTCCGCCCGTACCCAATCCCACCATTACAGCAACAGTACATGTGAACCATCGTGTTCAAAACATTCCTATCATCACCGAACCCCATCTTCACCACCAACCCGTGAACGGTTTTGCCTAGTTTCAATTCCCCAATTCCAGCGCAAGCCTTGAGAACAAAAGGGTAGGTAAACTTATTAGGCAAAACGCCAAGATCGCACATTTTCTGGTAAAACGTCACTGCTTTGTGCTTGGAACAACGGGTTTGAGCGAAGCCTCTGATCACGGTGTTGAAAAGGAAGGCGTCGAAGTCGCGGGTTTCGGCGTCCGAGTGGAAGATGAAGGTAGAAGCGTAGTTTATGGCGCCGAGGTCGGAGGAAACTGAAGCGAGTTTGGTGAGGACGAGATTGTTGGATCGGAGGCCGAGCTTGAGGATGCGGGAGTAGATTTGGGAGAGTTTGGGAAGAGAATTGCAGAGCTGGAGAAGTGCTAAGCAGCTCTGTTCTGCTGCTCGGCCATTGCTTGGAGATCTGAGTGGTTTTGTTGCAGAGGTGATCATCTAGGAAAGTCGGATTTTTTTTAAAGAAAAGCTATTTTTACTTTTTGAGGATGAGAGGGAGTTTTTTTCGAGGGATATGCTAGGGGTACACCAAAAAATGTACCCCAAATGTACACCACCCTCCTACTAATCATTCATTTTATTTTGTTTTTATTTTTAAATTTTTTTGAAAATTTCTTGCCTTTTTTGTGTGGTGATGGAGGGGGTGGGGGATGTTTGGGGTACACTTTTGGTGTACCCCTAGCATTTTCCTTTTTTTGAACCACAAGATATCTTATTAACTCATCACAAATAGGAAAATGCTAGAAAGGTGTACCCCATTTATCCTCTACCCCCTTCATTACTACTCAATTAGGCATAAAATTAAAAAAAATAAGCAAATAAAAATTAAAAATAAATGAGTGGTTATTGAAGGGGTGATGTACAAATAGGGTACACCTTTGGTGTAAAGGTGTACCCCTAGCATGACCCTCACAAATAATATGTCATACAAACCTCAATACTACTCCCAACACAACACTACTCTTAAGACAACATGATATTCTTCTTCAAATTACTACTAGTGAAGTATTTAAAATTAAATTTGATGTTGGAGACACACTCATCCACTGTCACTTCCTCCTCGTGGTGCAGCTTCTTATTTCAAACCTTCCAAGTTGAATAACATGTTGCCGCCCAAGCTGCAATTCATACTTTTCTCTTCCTTCTACTACCATGTTTCTTAAGCTTGTCGCGGTATTCTTGGAGGCTGTTAGCTTGGATTTTACATCCCTTTGATTTCAAGACCTTACATTACATATCCTTAGAGAAAGGACATTTCCAAAATAAATGGTTGTTGTCCTCTTCTCCTTTACATAGGAGGGACTCCGTATTAATATTAAGGAATTTACTTAATCTCTGTTTTGTCTGTAATATATTCTTCAAAATCAACCACATATCAACATGATGTTTGGGGATATTTAATCTATTCCACATCAAGTCAGTCCAATCTGCTTTAGGGAGTTGGCCTATAAGCCAGTGATAACCTTCCTCAGATGTGTATTCTCTATTGATGGTCATCCCCTCAAACTCTGTCCTCACCTTAATCATCTTCCTGACTTCCTCCAATAATAGCAAGTATCCTGTTTATCTAAGTAATCCCAGAAATTTGAGCCCTTGATATATTTGCAATGAAGCCATCGAACCCATAGGTTATCTTTCTTGTTAGCAATATCCCAAATTAGCTTCATCACTAGGATTATATTTAAAATAAGAAGTATGGTATAACTAAGTAGTACGAACTATTCATTTTGGAATAGAGTAGTATTCATTTTTGTACAAAATACAAGTGTTCATTTTGGAATAAAAGATTACTTATTTTAGAATAACGTATTGTTCATTTTTAATCAGCATAATATTCTTTCTGAAATTACACGATGTTCATTTTCACGAAATTTTTCATTACAATTATAATATTTATTTTCGAATAATGAAATGTTAATTCTCAAACAACATAGTGTTCATTATGAAGCAACATATTATTTATTCTAAAACAACTTACTATATATAAATTGGGAGTTCTTCTTGAGCGAATAATATGCATTATAATTTTATTTAGTTGAGATCCATAATTTATCGAATTTTTATTTTAAAAAGTCAAACTGAATAAATAAATTCAGAAAAAGTTATTACTGGCAACAAACATAATCTTTATTATTATTATTATTGTTGTTGTTGTTGTTATTACACTTTAGTTATTTTGACAATATATCATAATGTCATACTGTCCCTCATAACCACTCATAAACCCATATCCGCCCCTCATGCCCCATCTGGATTGTCAATTTGGCAGCCATTACATTTAAGTTTCTCGTGCACGACTCTTAGCAACACGTGTTCATGTAGGATGCATATAACGCAAATGCGCACAAATGTGATTTGCCTCTCCTTGCAATGACCATCCCACTGAAATGTTAACAATAATTGAACAAAATTATTTTACTATAACAAGTTGTTCAGGAAATTAGGTAAAAAATATATAGAGGTCGGTTCCTATGACATTGAAAACCAATATCATGGAATGATCCGAGAGTGCTCCGATGTCCCGTTCGTAAAATTGACGGTTCCTATCCCCCCTAACCCCCACGGTAAACCCCCTACTCTGCCCCGGCCCGAACACGCCTCCTACCCCCTTCAATTGCACCCCAAGTTCATTTTGACTTTGGAGTAAAAAATTTGACTCCAAAATCAAAATCAACTTGGAGGGTGCAATTGAAGGGGGTAGGGTGCGTGTTCGGGTTGGGGCGGAGTGGGAGGGTTTTCTGTCAATTTTACAAACGGGACACCGGAGCAGCCCTGGGTCATTCCATGACAATGGTTCTCAATGTCAGAGGAACCAAGGTAAAAATGTATGATATCTATTATAAATTAATTATGTAAGAGGATGTTTGACAGTGCGTCATAGTTTTAGAAAAGTAGAAGTCATAAACGCAGAAACCAAAATATTTAAACCCATCTTTGCCAAAAAACATTTTTGAAGCTCATTTTGTACTTTAAAATTATACAAGTTTGTCAAACACACAAAATCATTTTTGGACAAAACAAAAGCTTAAAAAATTACTCTTTAAATAAAGTGTCAATTATCCTCCAAATAATGGCCTTAGAATTTATTTTGAAACCCAAAGAATATTTTATTTGAAAAAAATGTCTAGAATCAAAGTAGAGTGAATAATTACTTCTATTCCTAAAATGCAAGCAACACAAGTCAAATTATTTGGACCCGCCCATTAGTGTAGGTTTCAAGTTCTTTCTTCCACTACAAAAATTTTCTATTTTCCGCTGATATAACAACAACAACCAATTAAATCCCTGTGTTTTCTATTTTCCGCTGATAGAAAGATTCATTTTTTTCACATATTATATTCTTACACATATCTACTGCTTTTATAAAATCGAGGAATCCAATCAACCATCAAAGTTTTCCCAAACACTCAAACGCGAGAAAGAATCCCCCTAAACCCTGGAATCGTCAGATTTGGTTGTTATTCTGGTTTCCGATTCAAAGGGTTTTGGGGGGGTTTTCTGTGGGGAATTTTCAAATCATGAAAGGACAAAGAATGGAGGTACTGGAGTTCAAGAGAGGTGGGTTCTCATCGAACTCTCAATTGGGGTTTCAATGGAGTCTCCAAGATGGCAACTTTCGTCCCGGTGGGCTTTTTGCCTCTGTGGGTCAAATGGGTGGAAGCATGGATTTCAGCCCTTCGTCCCCGAATCGATCTGATTCTCGGGATGAAAACCCCGGCTTCAAGATCCCCTATGTAGATTTGTATATGAAGTACATCTCTTCACTCGAGGGGCTTAAGGTTCCTGAGGAGGAAAAAGGGGCTGCCAAGAAGAAGTCCGGGCTCAAGCTTAAAATTAAGGTTAGGAACCCTTCGCTGAGGAGGTTGATTAGCGGAGCGATTGCTGGGGCAGTGTCAAGGACTGTCGTGGCGCCTTTGGAGACCATTAGGACTCATTTGATGGTTGGGAGTAACGGGCATTCAACAACGGAGGTGTTCAATTCTATCATGACACATGAAGGGTGGACTGGATTGTTTAGGGGCAATTTGGTCAATGTGATTCGTGTTGCGCCTAGCAAGGCCATTGAGGTAGACTCTTATCATCTGTGTTTTAGGTTTGGTTGATATGTTGCTAAAGTTGTGCTCTTATTCTGTAACTATTTGTGTTCTTGGGTACTGCATTAGTTCTGTAGAAAAAATTGGATCTTTATTTAGGTTTGAATGATGTGCTGGTTTAGTTGTTAAGACATCATTTTTGGTTTGGCAATAAATTTTACTGAATTAAGTAACAAAACCAAACAAACACAGTTGGCGGAGGCAGGATTGAGTTATCGGGGAGGGGGGTTAGGGTTTAGGTTTAAGTCATAAGTGTTGCTGTCGATCCACCACGCTGAAGGCATTTCATATTTCATTGAAAATCCCCTACAGCCCCCATTGCATGTATCCATGACATCGTTGCCGGAATTGCTTTGGGGGGCACGTGTCCTACTGTTTTCCCTCCTCTGCCACTGCAGACACCCTACAATAAGCCATTACGAGCTTATTCACCCGCGGGCATTGTGCATGGAATGTCTATAGTAATATTTGGCATCGTAGCATTTATATGTCCGAGACGAAGTAAAAAGAAGAAAACTCTATGTATCATAGAAGGAAAAAAGTAGTAGACATTCTTTTATTTTCTTGTTGAATTAATTCTTTGTCCTTTTGAAGTCTTATTAAGTTTATTACCCTCTTTGTTAGGGAGATAAACTTCCTTATTATGATTAAATTTCATGCACCTCAAAGTCATTCTCTCCTCCGTCATCTATTAATTTTCAATTGCGTTTTCCCTCTTTTGCGTTTTCCCTCTTAACTTTGCAACAATGTTTTTTTGTTTGATTTTCTTTTTCCTATTTCAGCTGCGAACACGTATTTTGCTACTTTAAGAGTACGGAGTAGTAAGGATAACATTTAAAATAATGCGCTGTATAAACTATAAAGTATCATTTCGTGGGCATTATTTAATAGAACTCACAACTTGTGTAGAACAATATTTACTCTAGTTTGATAGATTCAATTGCCTTGTCACAAAATTTATTTCCTTTGTTAACTATTGCTACTTGGGATATATTTAGCATCATTTAAGATTAGATGAGGAACAACATGTAGTGAAAATTGTAATTGGATGGCATGGAGGCATAGACTAGTGACTTGTGAGTGAGCAAAATCTTCATGCATATTTTATGGGTTTATTGATCAAGATATAACACATATGATTAACACAAGTTGGTCAAAAAGAGAGTGGGGCTATAGGAGACTATGTGATTGTAAAGTGCATCTAAACATCCATAAGGCCTTCATTGAAATGGGAAACTGTCATCAATGCATTGAAGGGTACCATTCTTCCTCATTTGTAGGACCGTATTGGGTTGTTTTCAATCCACCTTTGCATTACATGTTATTATAGCATGATTGTTGAATGCAATTTTTTTTCCCTGAAATGCTGCAGCTTTTTGCTTATGACACGGTTAAAAAGAACCTGTCTCCCAAACCTGGCGAGCAGCCTAAACTTCCCGTTCCTGCTTCTTTAATTGCCGGAGCTTGTGCAGGCGTCAGCTCAACATTGGTCACATATCCTCTTGAATTGGTCAAGACTCGGCTCACAGTTCAGGTAAAATTTCACCACACAAACTTTGTGTGTGTGTGTGTGGACAATTGATACTTCTAGTCTCCTACACACAGTATGCATGCATGCATGTATGTATGCATGGAACAACAAAACCAAGTATGATCCCAACTTCATTGATGCATTTACTAACCAAAACATCATTGAAAGTAAGAAGCAAAAAAAGTTTAATGTGTTATTTTGATATAGTCCATTATTTACGTGAAGCTTAATCATTGTCAATTACGACTATGTTAGCTCCATTGGCAATGTACACAAAATGTATGTAACTATGTATGTATGTGCACACACATGCATGCACACACACGCGCGCGCGCGCGCCACTCATATGTGGGAGCTTATTGGATTGTTGTTGTTGTCATAGAGAGGAGTTTATGATGGTCTACTAGATGCATTCGTTAAGATATTGAAAGAGGGGGGACCGAGAGAGCTCTACCGGGGTCTCACTCCAAGTTTAATTGGAGTGGTTCCATATGCGGCAACCAACTACTGCGCATATGACACACTGCGAAAAGCCTACAGAAAGATTTTCAAACAAGAGAAAATCGGTAACATGGAGACCCTTTTGATTGGTTCCCTGGCAGCTGCCATATCGAGCACTGCCACTTTCCCCCTAGAAGTGGCGCGCAAGCAGATGCAGGTTGGGGCTGTGAGTGGGAGGCAAGTGTACAAGAATCTGATTCATGCTCTTGCCACCATTCTTGAACAAGAAGGCGTCCCGGGCTTGTATCGAGGGCTGGGGCCCAGCTGCATGAAGCTGGTGCCTGCTGCTGGCATTTCCTTCATGTGTTATGAAGCCTGCAAGAGGATTTTGGTAGAGAAAGATGATGAGGAGTAGAAACAAAAAGAAAAGGTCTTTTTTTTTTTTTTGCAGACAAACAGAGATTTAAAGGTGCAATGAAGTGTATTCATGTTATGAGATTGATTTACCAGCAAAGTTTTGTTGAGGATTCATTTTTATTCTTATTTTTTTTTGGGTGTGTTTCCAAGTCAAGGAAAGAGATCTGATTGGGAATCTGTTTTTTAAGAGATGTTGAAGACAATATAAAGGGAACTGGCTTTTGGTTTATTTGGGTCATTGTGCAGTGGGGAAATGGCTGCTAGATTAGTAGAGCATTGGTATTTTATTCGCCATGGTTTTTTGACACCCGTTTTGGGTGTCATAATATTACACCGGTATGGTGCGGTAATGGACCCTCTCTTACTCTCCCAAATTTGCCGTTTCGCCACAGTGATAATTGTCAAGAAGTCAACTCAACCAAAGGTTCAAGTTTATGATGGTAGACTCAAGAAAGTTTTTTTTTTATATTTTGACAATTATGGTAGCAAACCAACAAATTTGGGGGATTCATTGGAGCCCAACATCCAATCTTGTGTCTAAATGGCAGAACTATATTCTTTATGTTACATAGGCTTTTTTTTAAACATCAAAACTGTTATGTGTATTTATTTATTCTGATTAGGCTCAGGTCACCCGCTCAGGTCACCCGTAAAATTCGGTCCGTAATTGTGCACTACAAGGGTACCAAAAGTAGCAACACCCCAACCCAACCTCGCCACACTCCACTCACAAAGAAACGGAGAAGAACTGAGATCAACTCACAAAGGAAGAAAGAAACCCACACGGAAGTCTCACAAAGAGAAAGGAGTTTTGCACGATGAAATAACTCAAGGTGGAAGCCTCAATTTATAGTGGAGATTAGAGTGGTAATTAAGGCAAGCTTAATTAGGTTAAGGAGTATAGATTGGGCTTGAGTAAATGGGCTGCTGGGTTGGGTGTCAAATATTATTAATATGTTTGGGCCAACCCAAATAAATTAACAAAAACTAAATACAATTACGTCCACGATAGGGGTTAATGCTATTTTAAAACGAGAAATTCGTTCATTGCCATTAAAATGTTGTTTTAAATATTGTTTTTAAAGGGAATTTTAAAATGCAAACCAATTGTAAGGTCTTGGAATTGTATATTGTCCATGTATCCATCCTATTCTTTCCTATCACTTACAAATTAGAATACTTAGTAGAAAGCTTTTTGAAAAGGTAGAAATTGGTCCTTACATTTGTTGTGCGATTTTTGTAAATCTTTTGCAAGCGTTTGTGATATTGTCATTTTTGTGAGTTATCACCACCTAAACTATCCATTTTCCAAACATTGCAACATAAGGTCTCATACAGTATATTATGTTAATTTGTTATTTGTTGAGATAATAAAAATTCTTGAAAATCATTCTTTCAATATTCTTTCAACCAAGAAAAAAGTACTTGAAGGACAAAAGAGTATCTTTGGCGCGTTCATTCATCCTATGGTACAATAGAATAAAATGAGGTGTTCCCAAGATTAGTTCAATCACTCTCACAGTCTCACTCGTAATTCACCAATGTACCTATAGACACATTTGTGAATTTTGAGCATTGGGATCACCTTTGGAATTACCCCTATTGCCCTACCCATGCTCCTACCATTTGTCACCCCTACCTCGGCTCGACATACACTACCATCCTCGTCCACCCCTACCCCGCCACCCCACTCCTCACCCTCCTACCCTCCCCTGTCCACAACCATCGTCCCTCGTCACTTGCCACCCACCCATGAATTCAATCCACCCGCCCTTGCCCTTAATCTACCCAACGCACCCCTATGGTATTAAAATATTAATAAGTTGTTACAAAATATCTTTTTATATATTAATTTTTAAATATTAATAACTGAAACTATTTTTCAAGAAAATAATTTCTTTCCTACGAAACAACGAAAAATATGATTGAAAAATAAGTTTTATTGGGAATCATTCTCCTTTGAAAAATAAATTCTTTTAGGAAAATAATCAATTGAAAAAAAAACATTTGGCAAGATGAAAGCTGACACATCAGAATCGTGGCAGATCCAAACCAGTAGCTCGAACCATATCTACAACATTAATGTAATCATTTTTGTAATCACACATTACAATGTGTGAATTAACCGTCATCTATTGTTAAGTAAATCAGGGAATGGGGAAAAGATCAAAGGTTGGATTGGCAGCATAAAACCAATCCATAATGGATTTCACCATTCCTCTGCGGCATTTCGTCGAACAAGTGGCGAGCGGATCTTGTGGCTCGTACCATCTAATGTTCCCACACCGGAACTTTGGGAAGCAACTTGCCGCTGTGAGCATTTATATAAACGGAAGTCTTCAATAAGAAAATTCACGCAGCCACGCGATAAGCACATAGCGAACTATTCTTTCGCCTTTTACTAAAGAATACCGTGTGCTTGTCGCAATCAGTGGCATACGGTAATTTTTGGAGGGTCTCTTCTTTTGGAAGATCCCAACAAATATCAGTTGAAGTTTTCTTCTGTTCTTTAACTATGAAGCTAAGCAGAAGGTGGTTTTACAAGGTTTCTGGCAAATTTCGATAATTAAGTGATATTATATACTCCCTCTGTTCGAAAATATTTTTCCCATTTGATTTTTACGGTCTCCAAGATTGCACTTTGACCACTAATATCTTTATTTATACATGGATATATTTTCTAAAAATTTGATATTTGGAAACTATATTTCAAAATAAATATATTCATATTAAAGTTATATTTTTTCTACATATCATAGTCAAAGTTTACAAACTTTCACTAAGAAAAGTCAAATGAGAAGAATATTTCCGGACGGAGGGAATATCAATTTAAAATCATTTTATCTAATTTCATATGTCAAATGCGGAGTATGTTTAATTTAACTGTATGTTAAAGGTTGATAATGTTTGGTGGTAAAAAGTCAAAACTAGATAAATAATCATGTATGGTGGTAGTAATACATATTAATTTCTTTAACTTTTTGTTTCCTTATATAGTAACTCAAATCTAATTAGGAAATAGGAATGGACCATGCTACATTTACACAAAAAATTCTATCCAAACTTACACCAACATTTTGATGGTTCCCACTGACATAAAGTGTTGGTGCGTTAACAAAAATTTATAACACAAAATGTTGGTGCTTTAACACAAATTAGCATTACACCAACATAAAATATTGGTGCAAACCTGCGGTATACAAATGAGATATAAATCTTTGGGGTACAAATAGCTTAATTTAATAAAAATACTACCTACGGAGAAGGATCAAAGTAGTAGTAAAACATATGACATATCCTCAAAATAAGAGTTGAAACATAAACTCCCCTAAATAAGAGTAATTAACTTAATTAATTTAATGACTTAGAGTTAATGGGCAAAATAGAAGTAAAATAATGACCAAGTACAAAAAGAGAAGTTATATTCATATTACAAATTAGAAATTAAATACATTTTATAAATTTAAAAAAACTTAAATTAGCTACAGCCCCTACCGCACATGTCATTGTCACCATCCCTGCCGTCATCACTGCTACTGTCGTCACTGCCACTCCATCGCCACAATTTTATGCTGCCATCATTATTAAATGCGGCCACCACCTACATTGTTGCTGCCACTAACACCGCCACGGTCGGCACTATTACCACCACGATCTGCCGCTCTTATCCCCATTTGTTGCGGATGCCGGCTCCATCACCCCCATTTGCTGCTGTCAATTTCATAATTTACTGCCATTGTTGCCACCATAGTGTCATGGTGTCACCGCCAAGGGAAAAAAAATTCAATACAATGTCAACCAAATCACAATGTCAAAGATGATAATGCATATTGATAAACATGTAATTGCATAATGCCAAACATGTTATTGCGTAATGCCAAACATGTCAATATAAAATGTCAAAAAAAAAGTGAAATGTCAAGATTTCCAACATACAATGTCAAGTTTTCTTATCACTATCACCAAATTTTGCTAAAATTGGGAGCAAAATTTAAATGCTAAAATTGGGAGCAAAATTTAAACACAACTAAAAGAAAAAACAATCAAATACAAAAATGAAAAGAAAAAACCAAGGAAATCTGGTACATCTGCTGTCTTTTGAGAAGATTCAAGTCAAGGTGGAGATTTGTTAGGAAATACCTTGAATCTGTATTCTAAACGTATTAGGATTACGACTAGGAATAGGATTAGGATTATCTTTCCTACTCTCATCTTTATATATGTAGTAGGATTAGGATTACCCATATCCCCTTCCCTATATATATAACATGTATTTGTACTCCTCAATTCATGGTAGAAAAAATCTGTAATCTGGTGAGAAAGTACTGATCAATAATTATTTCCTCTTCTGTCCGTGGAGGTTACTAACAGGTTGTTAGTAAACCACATTAAATCTCTATCCTTTTTTTGATTGTCCATTGTTCGTATTCATACTTTCTCGCATCTGTCACAACATGTATTATTGTTAATTTCTTTTTGTTGAGATGATAAGTGTTTTTTTGAAATAAAAGGTAGATTAAATTATATTGGAAATGAAATCAGGGGTGATCCAACCCACTCCTCAATGCTCTGAGTAAAACGAGAAGTCCACACTAACAAATGTTTTGTCTCATTAGCAGAGCGAAAAGCAAAATGAAAAAAGAAATCTTCGCCACAAAGGGCTCGAGGATTTTTACAATCATTGATAATTGAATAGAATTGAAGTAAGACAAATCACTTTTAAGATAATTAATAGCTTTCACAACCTCCTTTCAATCAGATTCAATAATCACCATTGTCCATCCTTTTGCTTTATCCAACTTAACTCTTCCTTCACCGGCATCGTCTATGCTTCTGTAGGCCCGAAGCTTCCATTGTAACAAGGATTCTTCGCTGCAAGAAACGAACCATTAGGCCTGAAGCTTCCCTTGCAACAAAGATTCTTCGTTGCAAGAAACGAACCATTAGGGTCGCACACTAGAAATTTGACACATCTAGGATTCGAGCCAGGCTCAATCTGGAACAAGCTTGTATGATGAGAGTAGTTAGCCTTAAAGACATGTGAAACAAGGAGTTCAGGTTGATGAATAAACTTCAATGCCATTTTACCAAGCATACCAAGATTCAATAAGTATTTGAAATTGTTGTTTCAATATTCTTCACCCAAGAATAAAGAACAAAAATAGTATCTTTGGTATCTTCATTCATCTTATGATATAACAACAAAATAAAGTTGGGTGTC